AAAAAAAAAAAAAAAAAAAATTAATTGTTCCCTATATAGATTTATCATCAGAGTTCTCTCACATCATAAGCAAACTCAATTTATAAAAGTCCAATTTTACGATAAAAGCAAATTATTGTTTTCAAAAATGTTCACAACCAAATTTCTTTAATAATTAAATCCCCAGGTATTTAAAAATATAATTCTATATACAGCAATTTGGTTTTCAGGGACAGACCTGTATTAGTAAGAAAAGTTTGTTTTAATATATACTGTGTCCTCCGTTGCTTTAGAGAATGAACAGTGTTGATGATCCAGGGGCAGTGATGAGTAGCTTGGGAGAATAGGTACGGACGTAGCTCAGGGGAAATCCTGAAGTGGCACAGTTCATTTGTCCCTCACTGGGTTGCTGATCCATCTGAAGCCCCATTTATGCCAGGGGTCACGAAGAGGGCTGAGATGAGATAGGAGACTGTTGACCAAGGCAAGATTCAAAAAGGACTCCAGTTTCAGGACAGAGGGTCTGTGGCAGTTAATGACGACTATTGCCTGTGTGCTTTTCAGAACATCGAGCTGAAGGTTGAAGTGGAGAGCCTGAAACGAGAACTCCAGGACAAGAAGCAGCATCTGGATAAAACATGGTGAGCTGTTGTTTGGACTGGATGAGCTCTGGTCCTTTCCACAGTCTGGCTCACCTATCTGAAAGTAATAGATTTAGAACGAAATTCCTTACCCTTATCTCTGGCATTTGATGCTGTGTCAGATTCAGGAACTGAGGATAGGTTTTCATGTGCTTTCTCTTGCTTGGGCTCTTTGTTACTAGGCCAGACGGACCTTGCCATGGACTGGTAGATTCACCAGACCTAAGATTATAAACCTCCTATTAAATAGCAATCAACTAAGCAGGAAACAATGAATGCTTCCACTTTTAGTAGAAAGAGACAAATGCAAATAAGCTTTATCAGAGATTATCAATCAATCTACTAATAACATCAAGTGCTGACATAATGTTTGGGGAAAACCGGCACTCTCATACACTACTGGTGAGAGTGTGAATTGTGACATTTTTGGTAGGTGGTACTATCTATTAAAGTAAAAAAAAAGAGCATTTCCTTTGATCAAATAATCCCTAGAAGAAATCTATTCCTCATAAATAAAAGCACTAGAGTGAAAGAATAAATCATTGCATCATTGTTTGTAATGGCAAAAAACTAGAAACAGCTATCCATCGATAGGGCAATGGCTGAAGAAATTTTAGTATATCCAGGACTATTACGCAGTTATTGAAAAGAATGCGTTAGCTCTATATTATTGTCCTGGTGCAAAGTCCTTGATTAAGGGGGAAAAGTACTGAGTGATAAGCCTCTTTGAGTAAAGACAAACAGTTCTCTCTGTGTGTACATGTGTTTGCTTGATTTATGCATGGAAAAAACTGGAGGGTTACACACCAAACTCCTTAACATGGCTTGTACTGGGGGAGTGAGATCAGAGTTTATGATGAGGAACAGACTTGATTTTTTTTCTTTAAATACTTTTATGTTGTTAAAATGGTTACTTTTATAATTTATAGTTTTTA